CACATAATGATCTGCCCAGAGCCAGTGGTCTCCTCCTGTATCAGTACCTTTACCAAGCACCTAACTCATTCGATGCATATTTCCTCCATGAATGGCCAATAGCCATATGAGAACACTCTCAAGCTCCAGTAAGCAGGGAAATGCAAAGTAGAGCCAGAATCAGATTCACCACCCTGCCTATCCCATTGGCAAAATGAAGATTGATAATAACTGCTGTAGGAAAGGGCAAGACGTATTGGGGACCCCAGGTACTAGGGAGCAGGCAATTTGGAGGGTTATTTAGTAGCATCTCTGAAAATGCAAAGGGTGTGTATTCTCCAATTCATCAATTCTTATTCTAAGTTTATACCCCAGAGAAATATTTGCACATTACACAAAGAGTGATATGCAAAAACATCCCCTGGAGCATTGTCTATAATGGTGAGACTCTGGAATATTCCACAGCTCCCTCACTAAGGGCAGAGTGTCCCTGCCCTGGTGTGCAAGGTAGCCAGTAGCATACATGGCACTTTGTGCCGTATTCTGTCATAACATGTGCACAGATGACATATAAAATAATAGCTCGACAGTGTTGGCACTGAAATGTTTCCAAGATGCTGTTCAGTGAAAAGCACATCTAAACATTGTGACATTAATGTTAACAGTCTCACAAAAACTGGAAACAAAATATGCAAATGTAAATGCAAATTTTAAGGTGTAGAAACTCAAGAAATGATCAAAGGTGTTCTCAGGAAGGTGGTAGATATTGGGAGAACCAAGAGGGGAGTTTGTCTCTTTTTTTATTTTGAGTTTTTTTAAAATAATGACAATGTATTTGTACATTTCTTATGCTATATAAAATAACTGGAAAATGATTTTTGAAATAAGTATTGAGGACTTTCAAGTTGGTAGGCACAGCTCAGAAGAATCCAGGCTGAGGGTAGAGCAGGACTGAGCAGGTCTTTGGGAGCTAGAAGGGTCAGAAGACAGCTGGGAGGAGGAACCCCCGCTTTGGATGGAACTGTGTGCCCATGGGCCCAGCCTTCGACCTCAGCCACCAGCCCTCTTTTGGAAGCCTAGGTCACTGCCTCTGGTAGGACCCTAAGAGCTCCTCTAGACCAAACTTCACCCATTAAAGTAGATAATAGCACTGGCATGACTTACTGGAGTCCCTCCAGAAGGTAGGGCAGAAGCAGGGTGAAAAAGGTGCCATGCACCCCCCACAGGCCTAGGGCATCTCCCTTCAACTCTGTATCCTGTGTCCATGCCACACCTACATGCAGAGAGAGCCCAGAAAATTTTGGTTCAACAAATGATTGAATAAACCTATAGATGACTGACGAATGGGTAAAAACAAACAGATAGGCTCCAGGCATGGTGGCGCACACCTGTAATCCCAGCAGCTCGGGAAGCTGAGGCAGGAAGATCACGAGTTCAAAGCCAGCCTCAGCAAAAGGAGGTGCTAAGCAAAAATACAATAGGGTTGGGGATGTGGCTCAGTGGCCGAGTGCCCCTGAGTTCAATCCCTGGTACCTAACCCCCAAAAAATTAAAAAAAAAAAACAACAATGCTGGATTTCTGAAAGAAAGGAGAAGTTAGAGAGAGTCTGTCCTCTCTAGGGACATAAAGAAGGGATATGGTTAACGTGAGTGGTGTGCCACAGGGGAGGGAACAGGGGATACAGGGCAGTGAACGGGCATATCTAGGCTTTGGTTCTGGATGTTCTCTGGATCATAATGTGCACATGTGTGCCTTCTGGGCAGGGCCCTGAGCCATGCTGAGAGAGGTTATAGATCCTGATCTTCAGGAACTCACTCTAGAGCAAGAGTTCTCAAACTTGAGCACGCATCAGAATGACCTTGAGGACTTTTTTAAATTGTAGATTGCTATGCCCCAACCCCAGAGTTTCCAATTCAGTGGGCCTGAGAGTGCTGGCTAGAAAATCCCAAGGTGATGCTGGTGCTGCTGAACTGGACAACAGTGGTTCTCAGTCCCGGCTGCTTGTTAGACTCTCCTGGGAGATTCAGAGCTGCCCAGGCTGCAGCCTTGACCATAAATTGCATCCAAGTCTCTGGAGAAGAAACCCAGACAGCAGAGCTTCTCAAACTTCATCTAAGGTGAAGGACCAGTGTTTTTTCCTTGTTATTGTCAATCAACTGTGGGTTAGTACCTCTGAGAAATTCATAAAAATAAATTACTAGAAAAAATGAAATAAGCCATAAAGATCTACACAATATGTCTCCATTTTTCTTATTAGATTCAGCAAGCATGAAACTCTTCTGCCACTTGCCATTAAAAAAAAAAAAACCTAAACACTTAATCTCAATTTCTGTACTTATTGCAGACTGGTAAGCAAAAATTCATAAGCTGGCAACATGTCTAGATGTCCTTCTCGAGTAGCTCCAGGCTATACCCTCTCGCTCATTCTTGGGGTCAGGCACAAGTCAGACAAAGATTCTCAACAGCCTCACCCTCTCTTCCCACAGGGGGTCATCTGGCTCCCTCTCTGTATTGGAGTCCTCAAATCTGGGTGGATCCCCTTTCCTCTGTCTACAGGGGCTATATTTCTAAGGGCCAGAGTCGAGGGATTTTCTGAAATATTTTTTAAAACTTTCCTATTGAGAAAGAAAATCATCCATGGGAGTCCTATTAGAATAGTGTCTCTTGTAGGTTCCTCGTTGGGAAGTCAGCAATTTGTATCTGGTTTTCAATCCAGCACTAGTTAACTAAGAGGCAAATATTTTTCTGGATGTCACTTTCCCTCCCTGGGAACTGGGCAGAAAGGCTCTCTTGTTGCTGCAATGTCATCTCCATGATTCTAATGATCTGGAAATGCCCATTGCCTGCAGCTCAGGCATCCATGGCAGAGACAGAATTCATGGTGAGAACCTCGATCCCGGGTCCTGATGAACTAGCTACGTGGCTCTGAAGTCTGATTATTAAACCGAAGGCTGCTGCCCCTCCTGAGCAGTGAATCCAGGTGCCTTAGTACCAAGCCTGCCAACTTGAGTAGTAGTTGTTTTTTCCAAAGGCAGTCTATGACCTTTGACCTTCAAACCTATAATTAGGTCACAGTCACACAGAGAAATTAATCTGGAGAAGTGTTGAAGTCTCCTGTGTAGAGGAACTTACCTCCCAGCTTGAATAGGGACTCACTCTGGGAGCCTAAGAAATCACTTTCCCTCCCCAGGCCTCGGTTTCCATGTCTAAAATAAAGGAAATTAAACCAGATGTTTTCTAAAGTCACTTGAAAAACTTTCTCTGTTGTATATTTGCCAACCATCACCAGTCTTTTATCACAAAGAAAATACCAGTTTAAAATAAAAGTAGGGCTGGGACTGTGGCTCAGTGGTCGAGTGCTAGCCTAGTATGCGTGAGGCACTGGATTCGATCCTCAGCACCACATAAAAACGAAATAAAGATATTGTGTCCACCTACAACTAAAAAATAGATATTAAAAAAAATGAAAGCCAGGTGTGGTGGCACATGCCTATAATCCCAGCAACTTGGGAGGCTGAGGCAGGAGGATCATGAGTTCAAAGCCAGCCTCAGCAGATTAGTAAGGCACTTCACAACTCAGTGAGACCCTGTCGCTAAATAAAATATTAAAAAAGGCTGGGGACATGGCTCAGAGTTAAGCACACCTGGATTCAATCCTTAGTACCAAAAAAAAAAAATGGATATCATTTTCTGGTCTAAACCATCAGGACAGGATGACAAGGGGGAACTTCCATCCCAGATACGTTTTTCCACTCACTTTCCCACTTAACACCTGCCACAGCAGCAGCTGGGCTTTGAAAGCATGCCATGGGCCAGGCACTGCTGGGTCTGGATACATGCATGAAACCCTCAAAACCAGCCCACAAAGTAGGTACAGTCTCCCACTTAGGATGGTTTTGCTTATGATTTTGTGACTTTACAATGATGTGAAAGCAACACACCTTCAATAGAAACCATACTTCAGTTTGGATCTTTTCCCAGGCTAAAAATACTTAGTTTATTTGGGGTGGGGGATTGCGGGGAATTGAACCCCGGGGAACTATACCCATGAGCTATATCCCAGCACTTTTGCAAGGGGAGGTATCAGGGATTGAACTCAGGGGCACTCAACCACTGAGCCATATCCCCAGCCATATTGTATTTTATTTAGAGACAGGGTCTTACTGAGTTGCTTAACACCTCACTTTTGCTGAGGCTGGCTTTGAACTCATGGTCCTCCTGCCTCAGCCTCCTGAGCTTCTGGGATTACAGATATGCGTCGCCGTGCCCAGCCATCCCGACACCTTTTTATCTTTTACTTTGAGACAGGGTCTCATCAAGTTTTCCAGGACGACCTGTAACTTGCAATCTTCCTGCCTCAGCCTCCTGTATACCACCACACCAGGCTAGCAAAGCTTTCTTGAGAAACTGATCAGTGACAGGAGCTCTAGCTGCCAGGCAGTCATGTAGTCACAAGGGGAAACAACCAACAGAGCTCTCTGTTGCTAAGCTGTGGTGTCGGGTGAATTACTATATTTCAACTTGCAATATTTTCACCTTGTGATGGGTTGATAAGGACACGGCCCTCTTGTAAATCAAGAAGCATCTGGACCGCCATAGATGCTATTACCAGCTCTACTTTAAAGAGGGAATTTTGACTCAGAGAAATGAAGTTACTCCTCCAAGGTCATGCATCTGGAATGCAGCAGACAGAATTCTCACCAGGAAATCTGCACCCATCAGTTTCAACTGAGCCTCTACTATGTGCATGGGATACACTGCGCAGGATCAATATTTGGGGACACATGATGGTATGTATGCTGTGTTCAAAAAACAGTTTCCCCTTCTTCCTGTGAAGCCAGGGGAAATGCAGGACAATTTGATTCTTCTTTGTCAATATTCTGTATGCCTGACAAAGAGAACATTAGCCAATTGTGCAGGGAGATGCAGTTCTACCCACAAATATCTTCTATTATGGCTACATCAATGGCCACAGTACTCAGTTTGAGAGCACTATCCTTTTTAAGGAAAGAAAAAGCTCAATTTGTTTGCAGTTCATAAGCATGATGATTGGGTTTCACACTGTTGTGAGATGTGCTTTCCTCAAACCTCATTACAACATCAACCATTACCCCATCTGACGTGAACTTGGTTGGAAAAATGAAAAGAAAAAGCTTTTGAGTGAAATTCCAAATCTCCCTTCACAAAGAGCCTTCCAGCATAAGAGCAGCCAAAGGGGCAGGTGCCTGCTGCCCAGGTTGGCTCTGAAATTCAGAAAGAGATTTGAGTAGGGGGAGGGCGGATGTTCTTTCACAGAAAGCTCTGGGAAAGAAAGAGTGATATTTATAAGGACCAGAGATGTTGGGTGGTGCTTTCCACAGCAGGGCACCACAGCATGTTGTTTAAAAGCACACACAGACCTCTGGGGTGTAACTCTCAGTTCCATCACATGCAAGCTCTGTGACACTGGGTTCAGTACCTGACCTCTCTGAGCTTCAGTTTCCTCATCCCTAAAACATACACAACAGTAAGTTTTTGTGAGGGTTATTTAAGTCCATACAGTACTCTCATCCCTTGGTACCCAGGAGAGATTGGTTCAGGGACCTCCGTGGATGCCAAAATCCATGAATTCTGCAGTACCTTGTAGAATGTGGTGTAGCTATTTGCATGTAACTACATAATACTGCTGTGTACTTTAAATCATCTCTAGATTATTTATAATACCTAATGCAATGCAAATGCTATGTGAATAGTTGTTCTGCTGTATTGTTTAGGGAATAATGACGGGTAAAAAAAAAAAAAAAACAAGGTCTGTGTGTTTGGTATAGATGCAATTTTTGTTTTCAAATATATTTCAGCCGAGGTTGGTTGAATCCATGAATGTGGAACCCATGGAGACGGAAGACAGATTGTATATACTTAAAAGGATCAGAATCATGCCCAGCAAGGACCCAGACTGCATTTGCATGAGCTGTTATTAGTACTGTTTTCAGGTAACTCACAAAGCCTGCAATTTGGATGCAGAAGTGAAGGGTTTGGTATAGAATTTAACTTTCCCACTAAATAGACTTCCTCCTAAGAATAGTGATGTGCTGGCCTTCCCATAAAAGGTGACTTTCTTTCCCTTCTCTTGAGCAACCAATCGTTCCCTGGATCCTTCCCTGTCTGTCCCAGTCCTCATGACCCCCATCACTTCTCAATACTCTCCCAATCTGGAGGTCACAGACCAGTCGGGGCAGTTCCCTGACATCAGCCCACATCGCCTCTTCCAGTTGTCCCTGAGCAGAGCTGGGCTCACACCCTGGGTAAATCATGGCCACAGCATTCTACAGAGCAGTCTCCAGAGCTCAGCCTCCACCAGCCCTGGAAAGGCCAGCCTCTTCTGACACCTGCCAGGACTCTGCAGAAGCCTGGCTTGGGTTTGCTTTCTGTATCTGATCTGACCCTGAAGTGGATCTCCCATAGCCTCTCTCTTACCACTCACTGGCACCCAAATCTCCAGGCCAAGAAGTTCCACTCTTCTTGTAGCCCCTGGCCTCAGAGAGCCGCTAAAGGTGGAGACCACCAAAGGCACAGTGGGGTGGGGAAAGACCTAGGCTCAGGCTCGGGAGGCTGTGGGCCTCCTCCTGGTAGCCCTGCTTACAGCCCAGCCTGACTCCCCAATCTGAAGGCTGAGGGCAAGCCATTCTCTTCCTCCAAGACAAGCCAAAGCCAACCTCCCCCACTGAAACCCAATTTCTACATCTTTTTATTTATTTTTTTATTTTTGGTACTGGGGATTGAACCCAGGGGCATTTAACCACTGAGCCACATCCCCAGCCCCTTTTAAAAAATATTTTATTTAGAGACAGGGTCCCACTAAGTTGTTTAGGGCCTACTAAATGGCTGAGGCTGACTTTGAACTCATAATCCTCCTGCCTCAGCCTCCGGAGCCACTGAGACTACAGGCATGTGCCACCACGCCCGGCCCAATTTCCTCATCTTTAAATAAAAATTTTCTATTAAAACGTAATATATGTTCTTGTAAACTTTGGGGGAAATACTGAAAGCACAGAGGAAAGAGGAAGAAATCAGTGATACTTCCATGATTTAGAGTTAATAAGATGTAACAGGGTGGTTCGATTCTGTCATAACAGATGTACTAGACATATGAGCTTCAGCTCCATGCAGTAGAAGGGTTTGGTCACCCTGTCCCCATCCCAACTAGTAGTACAGCATGTGTCCATTTGACCTAGGAGACTCCCAAGCAAAGCCAACCTGAGTCCATACTTGGGGTTCAGACACACAGGCCTGTGAGCTAAACAGACATGAGGCTTTGTCACAGTTAATGCCAGTATCTACTTAGCAAGGCTATGGTGGCCTGTTATTTGGTCAGACACCTATGAAAATGGCATTGTGAAGGTAATTTTTAGATGCAATTAGCATTTAAATCTGGAGAGTGAGTTAAAGGTGGTACTCCATAAAATGGATGGGCCTCATCCAATCAGGTGAAAGCCTCAGGTTTCCCCAAAGAAGAAGGAACACAGCCTCAGGACTGCCACATGGAAGCCCTGTCTGTGTTTCCAGCCTGCCTGTCCTGCCCACAGAGTTTAGACTCTAGACTGCAACATCAACTTTTACCCAAATTTCCAGCCTGCCCTGTAGATTTTGGACTTGTCAGCCTCTGTGATGGCATGACCCCCATTTCTTAAATAAATACATAAATCGCCTGGTGCGGTGGGGCAAGCCTAAAATCTCAGTGGCTCCAGAGGTTGAGGCAGGAGGATCTCAAGTTCAAAGCCAGCCTCAGCAACAGCAAGGCACTAAGCAACTCAGTGAGACTCTGTCTCTAAATAAAATGCAAAATAGGGCTGGGGATGTGGCTCAGTGGTCAACTGACCCTGAGTTTAATTCCCAGTACCAAAAAATAAATAAATACATAAATCTATCTTAGGTATGTACCCTACTGGTTCTGTTCCTCTGGAGAACTCTTGACTAACAGGGTCTGGCAAGACAACATGGCAGGGTTGCTCTGAAGGGGCATCACAATGGGTCAAAGGACAGAGGACCGGAGCAACCACAGTAGCTATTATTTGAAGAGTTTTACCCCCACCTCTCTGGGGCCCTGTGGAACATTTAGCCATTTCAAGTACAAGAGCAATCCCATTAAATAAGCCACATGGCACTCCCTAATGGAAATCAGACTGCGGTGACCACTGTGGCCACATAATGGGCAGTGCAAGAGGTCCACTCCACCTCCCAGTCTCAGTACTCCCAGAGAAGGGCAGGTGGAGCCTGAGTCTGCAGAGGCCAAGAACAACCAGTGAGGGGCAGAGGGTGGAGGGCAGCCTCTTGCAGAGCTTCCATAAGGCAGGAGTGGTGACGCTCTGCTGTGGTTAGGGGCTGGGGGTCTCCACGTGTGGATCTGTGCAAGCCATCCACAAGGGACATGCATGGAATCAAGAAGCTGGAACTCAGCCATGTGTGCTGGTGCATGCCTGTCATCCCAGAGCCTGAGGAGGCTGAGGCAGAGGAGGACTGCAAGTTTAAAGCCAGCTTCAGCAACTTAGCAAGAGACCTTGTCTCTGAATAAAATTGAAAAAGGGCTGGGGAAGTGGCTCAGTGGTTAAGTGCCCCTGAGATCAATGCCAGGTACGTAAATAAATAAAGAAGAAGTTGGAACTCTGAGCAGAGGTGACCATGAGAACATGTGCTCCCTGGAACATGCGAACGCCCAGAGAGGTCACTGATCCTCCCCCTGGGGAGGCAGGATAGCGTGCTCACAGCAACTTGAGCTAAATCCCAAAGGACAGCTGTCAGCACATGCTAAGAGATACAGATGGGGAGGCCAAGGAGAAAGCAGCCCACACAGCGGGGACATGGCTTCCCTTTTGCACAGGACAGTGTGTGGAGCCTTTGTCCCTGGCTGAATTCTGCCTTCAGTGCTGCTGATTACCTCTGTGTGTCATGGGAAGGCGGGAGGGGGGAACCAGGAGGTGCCAGTGATGGCCATGGCAACCTCTGTATCCCCTCATTTGTACCTTACAGAGCTTTGTCTTGTTCCAAGAACAGCTGAGGACCACACAGAAGAGCTCAGAACAGGCAGCAAGGATCCCAGCAGGGTGGTGCGTTCCTGTAATCCCCGCTACTCAGGAGGCGAAGGCAGGAAAATCACAAGTTCAAGGTCAGCCTGAGCAATGTAGAGAGACTCTGTCTGAAAATAAAATTTTTGAAAAGGACTGAGGATGTAGCTCGGTGGTAGAGCTCTTGCCCAGCAAGTTCAAGGGCCTGGGTTCAATCCTCAGAACTGAGAACAAGAGAAGAAAAAGAATGGAAGGCAGGGAATCCCTCGTTATTGACAGGCTGGCTTGGACCAAGGGAACAACGCAGAGCTGCCCCCCTCCAGTGGGCCAACTTGACGATCAGAGTGTCTGTTCTGGGGACAGAGCACGGCAAGCAGAGACCAGGGGAGCCCTGGGGAGGGAGGCCAGACATCTGCCAATCCAAACTTCTCCAGCCCTGTCCGTGACCTGGGGGAGATGATCCTTAGATGATCCTTAGACAAGTAGGTCGTAAGGTCCCAGGTGAACCCCTGTCTTCCAAGGATTCGCAGCTGGCAAATAGTGAGGCAGGACAGGAATCCTCCCTCCTAGTTCAGGCTCAGAGCCAATGAAGGAGGCAGAGGAGAGCCCTGCCAGGCTGCCAGGTGGACTGCAATCCTCCTACAGGTGATGAGCCGGCTAGTTCTTGCTCACCTGTTGAGCCCCTCCTTCCATCTGCAATGACCTACACTTCCCCCCACCCCACCCCACCCCCAGCTTACTGAGCTCTCCTCCACCTCTTCCCCACCGTCTCCAACCCCATAGTCTAGGTAGGGGGTACCTGGAACTCCATACTCCCTCTCCCAGCCTTTGCTTGCTTATTTGTCTGTCTCCCCACCAGGCAGGGACAGCCACAGTATCTTCCCTCCATGTACCCTGAACTTAGTAGTAGCTCAATCAAGAAAACAGTAATCAATCCACGCACAAACGTACAGGCTGTCTTTTGCCTTCCAGTCAGTGCTCTTGCAGGAGTCCAGGAAAGGTGGATATGGTGGAAGCATCTAGAACTTTCCTACCAGGCAAAGGGTTCCTTAAATCCCTCGTCCCTGAGCACTCGACTTCC